GAAAAAATTCCCCCCCCCCCCCCCCGCAACAAAGGATGAGTATATGTGGGTGTAAAGTTGCTGGAGAGTGGGGACGGAATGGAGATGCGGTCCAACATCAGGAAAAGGGCCCGTGGTGCATGCAGGGTGGGTGGAGTGAGGTGTGGTGTTGAATCTTGCTCTTAAGTGCTGGCTGCTCCTGAGAGATAGAGACCAGAGTATGACCCCTGAGATCTGGGCCAGCCGGTCTCTGGAGCCAGAACTCTGGGCCAGGGATGGGGGTGGTGTTCTCAGTGTCCTTCAGAGCCAAAGATAATGTGCCAACAGCCTCATATTTCTTCCTTCTGGCTCAATAGTCTGGGCATGAGGCCTGCCTACCCAGGCCCTTCTGTGGTTTCTTGTCCCTAAATCTTACCTCATCTCCTCCCCACAAGTTTCTCAGGCTATATTTGTGGCAATTCTCCTTTTATTGCACGGTGATGAACAGTCATGCTTCACCATAAGTCTGCAATGGGCACAAGCACTTCCTATATGTAGGGCAAATGCTTTTCCTTGAGAAAATCTAGACTGCTTCTCTGGAGGTTGGCTCAGCAAGCAAACCAAGCAGAAGGGCTTCCCAAGTTGAGTTCCACGGAGTACAAGTGTCCCGAGAAATATTAACAGTGGTGCCACACAAAAGTGTCCCATGGTCAGGTACACTTGGCAAATAGGGCCAAACTGGTTTCTTATTACAAGTCTTCTCAGGGATGTGAAAAGTGGGAATACACAATGGGAATGATCAAGGATGTTTGGTGTTTCTCAAACATAGAAGATCACACAGCTGTTCTGTGTGAGGAATATATTTTTGGAGAAATGTAGGTATAAGGGTCAGTGTTTTGTTTTTTGGCAGCTGGCTGGTCCAGGGATAGAACCCTGGACCTTGGTGGCATCAGCACCATGCTCTAATCAACTGAGCTAACTGGCCAGCCCAGGTTCACTGTTTTGGATCTCAGTAGATGTTCAGCATCAAAGCCCTGAAAAATGATTGTGGTCCATTTAGGTGACCTGGTCTGGACTGAGGATCTCGGAACTGCAGAGCTGAAGGACAAAGAGATTGTGAGGGCTGGTCACAAATATCTTCTGGGCACATTGGAAAAGTGGGCAAGGTGGGGCCACCCGGACAGGGGAGGGTGGGAGGACAGGGAGCAGGTGAAGTTGTAGCAGCCTTTTAGGGATGAAGCCAAATTCTCTCAGGACCAGAAACCTCTGCTTCTGAAAACCCTGATTCTTTTTACACTGGGCATATCTTTTATAACTTAGGCAAGTTCGTTTTGAGTTCAGCGTTCCAAAGAAAGATGTTTTTGGCACCTACTGAGCTGGAGGTAATTGGCTTAAAGTGAAAGAATCCCAAGGAGTGGGGGCTGGCCAGGCTGCCTTCTCACCTGAAGAGCCTTTCCAGAGCTCATCTCTGCTACAACCTTGGCTGGCTTTGTGTTTTGTTTTAGCCAGGAAGGCCGTTCCCTCACGACCTCAGCAGCCACATCCTGCTTCCGCTGCCTGCTCTGCCTTTGAGTCCCTTGTGCCAGTGCTGCTCAGTCAGTAGCTCTTTTCTGGGTCACAGTTGCACAGCTGGGCTGGCCATAGGTTGGTTTCCTTGCCCTCGGCAGGAGTTAGAGATCGCGGAACTGCAGAGGTGGAAGGGACTGCCACCTTCCCATTTTATTGATGAGGCCCAGAGATACTGTCTTGCTCAGTGGCACCCAGGTACTTAGTAGCCGAGCTGGTTCCCTTGATTCCCAGCACAGCCCTGCTCTGGGACCTGGTTTTGCTGTCACTTAGGTCTTTGAGGGGTGGGGTGGGGTGGGGGGATGTGAGAATAGAGAGAGCCACAAAGTAACTTGTCTGTAATAGAAGAACCTCCATGAGACGAAATCTTTATCTTTAGCCCCCTACCTTATCCACGGAGTGCAGGCTCTCAGGAAAACCTCTTGAGCAGAAAGAGAGGATCATTAAGTCATGGGATAGCAAGAGAGCAGAATCGTTCTCTTGAGCAGGGAGAGAGGATTATTAAGTCATAAAATACCATATGTCTGTGTTTTAGAGAGTTCGGAGGACAAAGGGACATTTTTTCATGAAAGATGATTCCTTATGTCTAAAATCCCAAACTAACACCCCCTCTTCCCCCCATCAGCCAGGCATCAACTCAGCTGCCGGCTGGACATCCAGTCAGTAGGCTCCATCGTGACAGCGTTGTCACGACGATCCTATCACACCCTTCTTCTTTTGGAGAAGCGGGGGCCTTGGTTGTGCCTGATTGGAGACAAACACACATACACACTCTCCCTTGTCTCAAATCATTTGCGTGCATAAATACAAAACCTGGAAATCAGTCTGTTCTCTTTACTATAGATTTGCAACTTTTGCTTCTTTTGGAGACAAACTGTTGGTTATCAGTAGATGATGGACTGATGAGTCTATAGTCTAACGAGTACTGTTTCTAATGAGTACACTTTCTTTGCTGAAAGGTGCAGATTCACTTTACAGGAACAGCTACAGCTTCAGCTTCAGTGATGAAAAACTGAATTCTCCAACAGACTCTACCCCAGCCCTGTTGTCTCCCACTGTTACTCCTCGGAAAGGTAGGTGCATTCATTGGAGTGTGAGTTTTTAGCTTTTTTATTCCCCTCTCCTTCTCAATCCTTTCTCTCTTCCCTGTAACCCAACTAATCTTGCCTAAATGTGCAAAACAAAAAGATACAAATAGTACAGTAGAGTGTGAAGTGTGAATTTGTTATTTCTCAGGATTTTGATCAGTGTGAAAATGAAATCAGATCATTTGGGGCAGAAAGCCCAAATTCACAGGGAGAAAAAAAAAAACAACTTGTAGACTCTAGACTGTTTCTTTCTCATGTATATAAATGGAAAGATTTATATTATCTTTTAATTCTGTTTTTCCACAAACTTTTTGAAGTACCCTTGTAGTGTAATCAAAACTGTGCCAAATGATAGTGTTGCCCATGTGTCTCCTCCCAGGCTGGTTGGTTCTAGAATTTAAAACTCAGCAGTTTAGCTTTATAGAAAGTAGGGTTCTTTTTTATTGCATTAATTATTTAACCAATGCTTTCAGATGACCAACTTAGCAATTAAATGGGGTCGTCATGATGAGACAAGCGATGATCTAACACGATTCAAAATAGCAGCTTCAGCCTGTCTCTACTGTGATATTAATAGACCTACAAAGTTTTAAAAGATGCATGAGTGGTTTCACATTTTTTGGAACTGGTAAAGTGTCTCCAGCTAGAGAGCTGAATGTTCTGTTATATTGGGCAAGTGCCCTTTTGAAAACAAAAGGAGTTTTTTTTTTTTTCCTTCTGAAAAGCTATACTTGCTGAAAATAGTTGCAGAATGCAATAAAATGGAACGTAGTTAAGAAATATGAAGATTCCATCGTTTTTCTCACTCTGGCATTAAGACAGAACTTCTCTCTTTTTCAAAGGAGACATTTTTAAATTTCCTTCTCAACACAGCAATGTTAGCAGCCACTGGGGAGGCCACCATGCTCCGGCCCTGTAATCCACTCTGTAATGGATCTGTTGAATTCAGGCGCAGAGCAGTCTCGAAAGTGGCTTAAAACATGCCCAGATTTGCTCCCTGATCCTCCAGAGGTAGAAATTAAATAGGGGAAAAAAGCCCCTAGTGGTAAATTGACTTGAAAAGCTAAGAACAATGAGGCATTTGTAGTCAGCAGGGGTTAATAAAAATATCCAGTAATGCATTTCAGGGAAGGCACGAATGATGAACTCTAGAGAAAAATGTAAGATACACAGAAAAGGTATATGGCTCAGGCTGTAGAGAGAACAAAATCTGGATAAGGACTTGTTACCTGATGCTGGCACCTGGACGGGATAAAGCTGTTACCTGGACCAGAAGCCTCATGTCGCCCTCCCTGTACCATTTTGAGAAGGAAAAGTAGCTCTTCTTTTATTTCATACTCTAAGGGCCGCAGTATTGCCGCAGGGTTATAGCACAAGCAAGAATTATAGACCGGGATAAAGCTGTTACCTGGACCAGAAGCCTCATGTCGCCCTCCCTGTACCATTTTGAGAAGGAAAAGTAGCTCTTCTTTCATTTCATACTCTAAGGGCCGCAGTATTGCCGCAGGGTTATAGCACAAGCAAGAATTATAGACCTGGGTGTCCATTCTGCATGGTGCTTTTGCTTACCAAATTTTTTTTTCTTTTTTTTTTCCTTATCTCACCAAATATTTTTGACTTTACTAATAACTCGAATCCTACACAATCAAAAAATCAAAACTCTTTATCTTCCCTTCCTGCCACTCATTTCCCCCAAAACTTTTAAGACAGTGAAGGGAGATTCTTCTTCCAGGTTAGGGGGAGGTAAGGTGGGTTGGTGGGAGAGGTGGTGATGAGCTAAAACAGAAAGAAACATTGAGGCTGGTCTTCTGAATTATTTTCCCAGTTCACTGTAACTAAACATTGGAGCAGACACTTTGAATTGTTACAGGACACTGTTCAATAAAGTCCCTGAATATAGAGATATAGATTACAAAATGGAAAGAATCCATAATGCTAGAAATTCTGTAATCCTGGAAAACTCAACATGAGATCATAAACTATCTTTGATATGGAAACTGAACTCTCTCTCCTGTTTTACAGCCAAATTAGGAGACACAAAAGAACTAGAAGACTTTATTGCTGATCTTGACAGAACATTAGCAAGTGAGTACCAGCCTGGTCTTAAAAAGAAAAAAAATCAGAAAACTAGAGGACACCTCTGATAAAGAGCTGTAATGTTTACCAGCTTGCCTGGGGACAAAGAGTTACATCATAAGACTTCTTTAGATTAGAAATAGGACCATAGTGGCTTGGAAAGAAGTTCTGAGGATAAGTTTGCATTAAAGTAGACCATGTGCCTTTCCAAACACTGAGAACAGGTCAGCAGCAAACAAGGGCATTTTGTTTGAGAAATGGAGAAGGAGCAAGATTGGAGCTTTACCATCATGTTGACCTGTCAGGCTCTTCAGAGAAGAAATGAGCCAATTGACCACACAAGCTTTACTCTAACAAGCCAGAGGGTTTCATCCCATGGGCCAGGGTAATTTTTCCAGGTTAGCTCCAGGGGCTTGGTGAGGTCTGACTTCTGAGATTTAGGTGCTAACAGAGAGAATTGGTTTGGGGAGACCTTACTACCAAAGACCCACGCCAATTGCTGAATGACCTGGATTAAGTATGCAGTACTTGCTTCCCATTTGGGAATTATGGTAAGGGTAACCCATTTTGTGTAACCAAAAATGTTGGGATCTGAAGACATCAGATCATAACTGCAATAGGGAGGTCTAGAGAAAAGGACTCTATCTACCCACTCTTATTTCACAGAAATGGGATTGCAAGAGCCAGGAGTACTAGCTCAAGCTTCCAGGAAGGAAGATTCAATAATTCTACTCATGGAGTGTCTTGTTCAGTCACAGAGAGGGCTGGGAGAATTTTGTGCCAGGCCCTTAATTTTTCAGTGAAAGAGTTTATTTTCTGTTTGAAGTATTTTATGCTGTATTCTACTAACTACCCAGGTAAAATCTGAAAAATTAGATCTCAAGCTGGTTATTTAAAAATAACACTGTTCTTAACACTCTTTCAGACAAGCCTAAATACCAGGTAGAAAGTTCTTGTATCATTTCTGTTTACTTGAAGATTTTATCGCCCCTTTTCTTACATGCCGCACCATCCTACATCAGAAGACCAAGGCCTGTTTTGACAGAGATTATTATAATTGCAGCACAATTTGTATTAGACCCATATAACAAGCCTGTCTACTTCGTGGAAATTGCAGCAGGCTGCCCAGTCATTCCAGTTAATCAGACACACATTGTGTGGGAAGCCTGCCCTTAGGTTTGGAGCTCTGATGCATGTCTGACATGGTGTGATGCCATGAAGCACAGCAATGGCAAACTTCTGTGAGTGGATAACCTTACCTATCTCCTATTTACAGGTATGTGAAGCAAGGAGGAGTTAGGGGTCCTTTCAGCATAAGGGAGAAGCTTCAGAAAGCTCTGAGGACCTGGTAAAATCAGCGACTAGAATCTTCTGCCAGAGGAGACAGAGATGAGTGTTCACCTCCGACCAGGCCATCCTTGGGCTCACCTTAAAATCCGTCGTTGGGCCCATCTCTGAGCAATTTAGACAGTGAAGCTGACTTTGTTTACCTGCTTGCAGCGTATTAGAACGACGATCCATGCTAATGTATTTTCTCTTAAAACACAGCTTTCCTGTAATTTAAAGTGCTTTTATGAAAGTATTTGTAATTAATTATATATAGTTGGAAATAGTAATATGCTTTTCCCATTATAATATATTTTTGTATACAAATAAAAATTGAACTGGAGTCTGTATTTTGTAAGCTTCCATTTCTTTTTCTTTATTTCTTTCAACATATTTCCATTCAAATAGTTTTCTAGTGGGAGTAGCAGGCCTCTGGACTGCTAACAAGGACCTGTGGTGCTGCCTGATTGCATTAAACAAGAAGATGGTAAACTTAAGAAAGAATTCCTTTGAGCTTGTTCAGTGCTCTAGAGGGAAATGCTGGCAGGTGGCTAATGGGAAATTTTAATTTGAGGATTGTGGTTTTGATGGAAGTTAAGTTTCTCTTCTGTCTCTGCCATTCTTCTCACATCTTGGCACCTTTGCAGATGCCATGGACTCTTTTTTTGAATTAAGGGAAATACCATTTGTACTTAAAATCCAGGACTTAAATATTAGGGAAAGTTGAGGCAGCTGGAGGACTGGTGTATTTTGTGCCAATGATGGTGTGTTTTATAAGATATGTGTGCTAGGGAAGATTTGATGGTGCTGGCCTTGATGCTAGTGTCCAGGCAGCTTCAATGGAGCCAGAGGGTCAAGATGGGAGGCCCTCAAATAGGTGGCCTTTGCATGTAGAAGCCAATGACACCTGTCCACTTGCCTTTGCAGGGGCTGGGGAAAGGCATAAAAACAGAAAAGTTCATAACTTCCTTATCTATGCTTTTCTATCTTTAAAAGCTCCTTTATAATAACCAGGCATTACTTTCATAATCAGAATAAAGTTATTTAAAAGCTCCAATCCTGGGCCGGCCCGGTGGTGCACTGCTACAGTGCGCCGCTTGGGAAGCGTGGCGGCGCTCCCGCCGACAGTTCGGATCCCACATACAGACCGGCNTTTGGTGGTTTCCAACCATAACAATTGAACCTAATCCTACTACCTAATGCCGCAACAGATCTCACCAGAAACCCCTCAACTCTGGGCTGGTAAGTTTAAGAGAAAGTTGTTTCCTTGTTGCTTAAGCAAGTTTAGGTTGTGTTTCAGTGACTGTATTAGTTTGCTAGAGCTGCTGAAACAAAATATTACAAACTGGGTGGCTTAAAACAATAAAAATGTATTCTCTCACTGTTCTGGAGGCTAGAAGTCTGAACTCAAGGTGTTGGCGGGGTTGGTTCCTTTAGGAAGCTCTGAGGGAGGATCTGCTCCATACCTCTCTCATAGTTTCTTGTGGTTTGCTGGCAATCTTTGGCATTCCTTGGTTTGTAGAGGCATCACTCTGATCTCTGCCTTTGTCTTCACATGGTGTTCCCTCTGTGTTTTTGTGTTTCTTCTCTTCTTATAAGGACACCAGTCATATTGTATTTGGCCCACCCTAATCCACTATGATCTCATCCTAACTCAATTACATCTGCAAAGACCCTATTTCCAAATAAAGTCACATTCACAGGTACCATGAAGGAGTCAGGACTTGAACATATCTTTTGGGGAACACAATTTAACCCATAACAGTGACATAAGCCCAAAATTGACCTATAGTAACCACAAACATATTAAAGAAGGATAAAGTTACACTACCTGATTTCAAAACTTGCTGTAAAGCTACAATAATTAAAACAGTGTGGTATTGGCCAAGTATAGGTAAATGGACCACTGGAACAGAATAGAGCCCAGTAATAGTTATACACATATTTGATTAATTGATTTATCAGAAAGATATCAATGTACTTCAATTAAGAAAGAAAAGTCTTTTCAACAAGTGGTGCTGGAGAACAGAAAAAAAAAAAANATATAAGGTCTACCATATTCCCTACACAAAAATTAATTTGAAATAAATCACAGACCTAAATGTAAAAGCTAAAACCATGAAGCTTTCAGAAGAAAACATAGTAGAATATCCTCATGACTTTGATGTAGAGATGATTTTTTTAGACAGGATACAAAAAGACACTAGTCATTTTTTTAAATTGAGAAATCAGACTTCATTAAAATTAAAAACTTTTCTTCATCAAAGACACCATTGCAAAAAAGGGAAAATCCAAGCCATGGACTGGAATAAAATAATGCAATACCTATATTTGTCAAAGGATTTGTTTTTAGAACATAGAAAGACCATCTACAAACTAATAATAAAAAGACAACCTGGTAAAATTAAAAATGGGCAAAACATTTGAACATACACCTCACAAAAGAGAGTATATGAATGACCAATAAACACATGAAAAGTCAAACACACAATTACCTTATAATCTAGCCCTATGTATTTACCCAAGAGAAATGAAAAACAATATAAGAATAAATTTTTATTCACAACAGCAAAAATAGGTAACAACCCAAATGTCTGTCAACAGAAGAATGAACACACAACTATATATGTGTATATTTATGTAACAATACTACAATCAAACGGACAAACTACTGATACACACAACATGGTGAATCTTAGAAACATTCTCTTTGCAAGAGTGCTGTGGTAGGCGGAATAACAGCCCCTCAAAGATGTCCATCCTAATCCCTACAATCTGTGAATGTTGCCATATGTGGCAAAAGGGACTTGACATGATGAAAGTTAAGGTGGGCCCTGTCTAATCACATGAGTCCTTAGAAGCAGAAAACCTTTCCTGGCTGTGGTCAGAGGATGATACGACTACAGAAGGATGGTAGACATGCAACAGTGTTGGCTTTGAAGATGGAAGAAAGAACCAAGAGCCAAAAAATGTGTGGTCTCCCAAAGCTGGAAAAGGCAAGGAAACAG